TCCGTAAGCCCTCCCCGCCCGCCTGGGGAGTGCGACAAGTGCGCATGCTCCGTAAAGCCTCCCCGCCCGCCCGGGGAGTCCAGCAGTGCGCATGCTCCGTAAGCCTTCCAGGCCCGCCCTGGTAACCTAGCAACAACCGGAATCCGTGACTCCGAGTTTTCGGGGGGATTTGGCGGCTTGCAGGGATTGAACCCCTCAAAGTCCCGCAGGGAGCCTTGTTGGGAAAGGGAAGCGGGCCGGACGGATGGGAACTGGGGGGCCATGAGCAGGGGCGCTGGAGCACCAAGGATCGCACCTCCCTGTGTGCAGCCACCCACGGAGCCGGTCCCCAAACTCTGCGTCCGAGGAACCCACGTGGACGGCGTTTCCTTATTGAGTCAAAGAGCTAACGCGGCTGCTCCTGAAATTATTATTTAATTTCTTAGTGTGCACAGAAGACACGGGGAAATGTACATATAAATATAATACAAGCCGGGAGGGCAGGAAGGGGAGCCCAAACCAGAGAAAAGTGATGTGATCTCTCTGAAATATGTCTTTATTAAACACACAGTCAGGGATATTCTTCCAGAAAATATTCAATAGGTGCATGTGCATGTGATCTGACTTTATCTTCCAGTTAAAAAAAAAAAAATTCAAAGAGCTTTGAAGCTCTTTTACTTGCCCAACATTTAAAGTCATATTTACATACTAGACTCAAACTCAGAGCAACTTTCCGGGGCCCAGAGGAAACGAATAGCGACAGACATACATTAGTGCACGTCACAAAACATCGGTCCGTTAAAACTTTTTAGCTAAAAGCACATTTGAATATCGCAAGCCTGCCCGTAGTGCAGCAACAGCCTAAATGTTTATGGGTAAACTTTTTTTTTCCACTGGGGGGTGCAGTTGGTCAGCCTATCGAGATTTCCACAGCTCCTTTCGTGAGTGTACTTAATAAATAATAACAGAGAGGTGATTATTTCCAAGACACTATAGGATGTGGAGGAGAAAGAAAGAAAGAAAGAAAGAAAGAAAGAAAGAAAGAAAGAAAGATGTAAAAAAATCATTAAAATATATTTTTTTTAAAAAAAGAAAAGAAAGAGAAAGAAAGAAAGAAAGAAAGAAAGAAAGAGGGAGGGAGGGAGGGAGGCAGAGAGAGAGAGAGGAGGGGAGGGCCTCCTCTATTTCAGGTTCTTTTCTGAAAGAGAGAGAGGGGAGGGGAGGGCCTCCTCTATTTCAGGTTCTTTTCTGAGCCCTGGGTCTGTTGTCCCATCTCCTTACATTTGCTTCCTACATCATGCCCAGGGGTTTTCATTAGCGAAAGGAAGAGGGACACGTGCACCCCCTCCACTTTTCCTGGAAGAGGTTCCAGATTTCTTTTTTTAAGTCGTTGAGGGGGAAAAGGACAAAAGAAAAATAAAATTCCATGACACACGAGGATCCGATGAAATGCAAAATTCAGCGCCTGTCAAGTTCCAAGTGCCTATGGCTGCTCTTGAGTTGAGTCGTGGCATCAGAGACCGTCTGCTGGACACACCCTAAAATACGTGCTATCAGATTCTTTACCGCCGTCGGCTGACCCCTGGGAATAATGGGATGAATGACGAGCCTTTTACTGACAGAGCGGGAAAGAGTACCTCCTCCATCAAGACTAACAGGAAGAGACTGGACATCCGGGTAGCTTCTGCTCACTTGTAGACCCTGGGGAATATAGGCGAGGCTGAAATGTTGGTCAGGAAAAATGTTGCTGCTGTAGAAGATTTTTTTTGTCCTCCTATTAGTACTTCCTTCACGTTTTGACATCCCTGACGTGACTTATTATCATTTAATTGGCAGCATTTTTTTTTCTCTCTTTGTGACACATAAAATGAGGGTGCACCTTACGAAGGAGGGTGTCTTCCACTCGATGAAACACGTCACTGATCTGGAGTAATCACAAGTAAATCCTTTGCAATGAAAAGATGTACATTTTGTCACCTCCTCCGGTTAGATTGAAGAACTCCTGATTAAACATTGACCTCAGAGTCGCTCTTTGAACATGCTTGTTCGCGCAAATCCTTTTTCCAATTAAATGAATTTCCAGCAAGGTCTGATACAAACACCGTGACATATTTTTTTTTTCTACTCACACAACGCCGCCCAAGAAGCTTGCATGCTTCCCGAGAACATGCCTGCTTATGATGACACATGTTTTTGTGTACCTGCCGTTTTTATCGGCACGTGGGAGTCCTATAACCAAGGTTGTCACTATCAATGTAGACCCTGTCTTCATCCTCAGAGCCATAAATAGTGAGTCCAAAACTACATTTGAAAGGCAGGATGCAAGGGAAAAAAAAACCATCGTATCATTCCCCACTCATCTAACCCTTCCAGGACGCGTCGTAGTTAGAAGACAGTTATGGGCACAGACAGATTTCCCGATTAGCAGGTTCATTAGGGAGAAGGTACAGAATACTCATCGCGAGACGTTCATTCGCGCTGACAAGGCCTGACCCGGCGGGCACTCGCTCATCGGTGACAGTGGAGCTGCTCCCTGGTGGAAGCAGCCACGGGCCAGGCAGGGAACACGCGTTCCTCGTGGAGGAATGCATCCGATGGAAGCAGGCCCCCCATCGCATGCCCCTGCTTCTGGGAACTCCCCAGGGAGCAGCCAGCTCCTCTCCGGTCACTTTGTTTGCGCTGCAAAATGCTCGGGGGAAGTTTCCAAAACTACATTTGAAAGGCAGGATGCAAGAAAAAAAAAAAAAACACACAAGAAACCCCGTCGTATCATTTCCCACTCATCTAACCCTTCCAGGACGCGTCGCAGTTAGAAGACAGTTATGGGCACAGACAGATTTCCCGATTAGCAGGTTCATTAGGGAGAAGGTCCAGAATACTCATCGCAAGACGTTCATTCGCGCTGACAAGGCCTGACCCGGCGGGCACTCACTCAGCAGTGACAGTGGAGCTGCTCCCTGGTGGAAGCAGCCACGGGCCAGGCAGGGAACACGCGTTCCTCGTGGAGGAATGCATCCGATGGAAGCAGGCCCCCCATCGCATGCCCCTGCTTCTGGGAACTCCCCAGGGAGCAGCCAGCTCCTCTCCGGTCACTTTGTTTGCGCTGCAAAATGCTCGGGGGAAGTTTGCATGTTTCCGCAAAGCAGTTTAAACTTCCAGCTCTGGCGAGAAGCATGACTCTGCACCTTCAATCATCGCATTGGGCCTGGCCGGTTTTGCTCAGGGGTTAGAGCATTGGCCCTCGGACGTAAGGGACGCCGGTTTGATTCCGGTCAAGGGCACCTACCTGGTTACAGGCTGGATCCCTGGTCCCGGGTTGGGGTGCGTACGGGAGGAAACTAATCTATGTCTTCTCTCTCTCTCTCACATACATGTTTCTCTCTCTCCCCCTCCCTTCCACTCTCTCTAAAAATCAATGGAAAAAATATCCTTGGGTGAGGATTTACAACACCGCCCCCCCCCAAAAAAAATAATCAAATTGATCCTGAGTAGCTCCTTTGGTCAATACAAACTCTATAAGCACGGGGTGTACTCAGCTATTAACTCCGTAGTAATTGTGTTACAAACTCTTATATTTTCATTTTTCAATATTGTGACACCCAAAAGGTTACTCTATGAATATCAATCAAAATCACACATTTTAAGCCCAGAAGGATATTTTCACATTATGATTATAAAATGTGTATTTAATGGCGCTTTTCCCAAAGGTCAGAATGTTCAACAATCTATGCCCTCCTCCTATATTGGTTGGAGGCCTACAGCCTGTCCCCACCCCTCCTCCTGCCCAGAGGACCACAATTCCTATTACCCAGATGATCCCACTTTTCATAATAAATGACCATGAATTGGGAGGGGCGGTGGAGAATAAAAAGAGAGAATGTGGAGAGAAA